GCAGAAGCCCTACCCATGACGTGTCCTTATTTATAGAAGAAATACTCTAAAAATCTCTCATAAAACAGGATAAAAGTAGTTTTCTAACCCAAAATGTCGTCATAATTGGCACTTCTCAGCATAAAAATTGAGCACATAATGATGAATGAACTCAGAAAGTTTCAAAATAAACAATGTATACAAGCTCTCAAACAATTGCAAATATATAGTACCTATTAGTATTTAGCTGAATTAATCATTTCTTAAGCCCCTCATAAAGTTACTGTTTATAAAAGATAAAGTTCTATGTATATGGGAATTAAATTTAGAAAAACATTTAATTGTCATAATTAAATGTAATCGTTAAAATATCAAAATAATACATTTCAGAGAATATATACGTAATGATTTTTAAAGCTCTAGTGAAGCATACTCTAAAATGTAGCTAAGCAATCTATTAACACCCTTTTACACAACACAGTTACAATTATTCTAGTAAGATAAATTGGCCAGGCTCAGTGATTCATGCTTGTAATCCCAGCACTTTGGGAGGCTGAGGTGGGTGGATCACCTGAAGTCAGGAGTTCAAGACCAGCCTGGTCAACATGGCGAAACCCTGTCTCTACTAAAAATACAAAATATTATCTGGGCATGGTGGTGGGCTCCTGTAATCCCAGCTACTTGGGAGGCTGAGGCAGGATAATTGCTTGAACCTGAGAGACGGAGGTTGCAGTGAGCTGAGGTTGTACCACTGCACTCCAGCCTGGGTGACAGAGTGAGACTCTGTCTGAAAAGAGAAAACAAAAAGATAAATTATACATAAGATTGATATACAAGGAAATTATATGTATTCACATATATATATATAATTTCCTTTTGGAAGATTTTAGAAAAATATTTGCCATGATTAATGATTTTTATATTTTATTTATAAATTGAATACTTTGACCAAATATTATATTAAATGGTTCAATAGGATTGAACCATATATGCTGTACTTTTATATATGTTATTGCATTTTAAAAAATCTGTAATTTTCAGTAACCTCAAAATATTAAAATAAATTTCTTGGCACAGTGGCTCATGTCCATAATTCCAGCACTTTGATTGGCCAAAGCAGGTGGATCACTTGAGTCCGTGAGTTTGAGACTAGCCTGGGCAAAATGGCAAAACACCATTTCTACAAAAAATACAAAAATTATCTAGGTGTGGCACAGGGTACCTGTAGTCCCAGCTACTAGGGAGGTTGAGGTGGGAAGATCTGACTGCAGATCCACTATTGCAGTGAGCTGTGACTGGGCAATAGAGTGAGACCTTGTCTCAAAATTAAATAAATAAATAAATAATTTTCTTCCTCTTTAAATCTTGGACCTAGTTATCAGATCAATCTTGCTAAAATTCTGCTTTCATTCATGCATATTATTCAGTGGCTCCTCACTTCCTACAAAATGAAATTCAGCTCTTTGTTCTCACATGCAAAACGTTTCAATATTTGGCTTCAAACTTTATTTCCAAACCAAGCCACGCTCATCTCCACACTGAGCTTGTGCTGTGTTCCTCATCTTGAAAGCTCTTCCTCTTTCTTTTCTTCAAATCTTGTGATCTTTAAAGATGCAGTTCAACTCCCACTTACCTCCCTTATGAAATCTTCCCTTATGTTTCTGGTGCCTTCCCCTGGCCTTGTCTTCATCACTTATTTTGGTGATGAAGACAATCACTATTATGTACTAAGTAACAGTACTTGTGTGGTTTTTTTTTTTTTTTTTGAGACAGAGTTTTGCTCTTGTGGCCCAGGCTGGAATGCAATGGCGAGATCTCAGCTGACTGCAACCTCGGCCTCCTGGATTCAAGTGATTTTCTTGCCTCAGCCTCCTGACTAGCTGGGATTACAGGCGTCTGCCACCACACCCAGCTAATTTTTGTATTTTCAGTAGAGACAGGGTTTTGCCATGTTGGCCAGGCTGCTCTCAAACTACTGTCCTCTGGTCATCCACCCGCCTCCTCCCAAAGTGCTGGGATTACAGGTGTGAGCCACTGCACTCCGCCTTGTGTCTCTTAACCAAATACGAATTACCTTTGGTGCCTAGCAAAATCCTAAGAATTATAAAATTTGACAGAGTATTAAATTATAAGCATATGCTAGTATTACCTTAATTACCTGACTTATTTTACTTTATTTTTACAGTTTTTCTATCTACAGAAATAGTATAACTAAAAGCCAAGTTTACTATTGCTTAAGTGTTTCTCATTCTCTTTCAAAATGAACTGATCTTGCTGTTGTCTCCATTTAATGCATGATCTTCACTGTGCAACTGAAATATACAGGGTCTGAAATTTTCCTCAAACCATGGACTAATTCTCTTTAATTTCATCAAGTCTTAGGTAAGTTTCTGTGTTTTGTGATAAATGCATTTTTACCTTCCTTTTAATGGAATATTTGAATGTTCAATTTCTCCAAAAATACAGAACTGAAACCCAAAAAACAGTAAGGTCTTCCTTTCATTGAGTTTGATGTTTTTCATTTTTCTCTCCTTTCTCCAAGCACAGGGGAAGAGATATAAAAGTGGAGAGAGAGATGTTTTTAAAGGCCACCCTAGGCTAGATGCAGAAAAGCAGAAATTATGGTGCTAGCTTCCTCTACTGCATAGGCAGTTTAACTCTGCTTAAGACTATTGTACTTGAGTCCCAAGTTTACAGATCTAGGGAAATCATGCCTACAAATGAGCATGGTTTTCTTCTTGCATATAACAGCACCAATTACTTATTAAATACCTACTGTATGTCAGATGCAATGTTGGTTGCTTTATATATTACCTAATTTTCATGATCTAATGTATCATGATTCCCATTTTATAGAGGAGAAAACCAAAGCTTAGAGATGCTAAGTAACCTGAACAACTAGTAAATGGCAGAGCTAGAGTTTAGATGCAGAACTGATTCCAAACCCTATGCTCTTTTCACTACATCTTGCATTGTCAGTGTCTTTTATTGGCAGGAATTCTCACTGGGGAATGTTGGGGCTTGCATCTGTAACTGGCAGCTAAAGGGAAGGACAGAATAATAATAAAAAATTTCCATTGTATCTGAGGAGGTTTACCAGACCTCTTCCTCTATGCACAGTTGCTCCAGGCTTTGTCATTAGATGTTCCTCACTCTGACAATTTACACTTCAGTGTACACTAAATTTGGCGCTGTTCCTTTTGTTATGGAACATCTGATCACTTCTGTCTGGGTAGGTGGGGAGGAGAGCTGAGACGATTTTATCTTTGTCAAGGCCCAGGATGAAAACAATACCAGGAAGTAAATCAATGCAAGAATATACATTTTATACTAAAAATGTACATATGATAATATGTAGTATAAATTTACTATTTATATATTTTTGGGGGGGCCAGTGGTGGCGGGGTGTGGCATGATACATTTATCACACAAGATGAAACTTACACATAAAGACTAGATATAGCTATAGTCTTAGTGCTGTGCTGATATATAAATTCTAAGTTTCAGTTGTTAGTTTATTTGAAGATCAATAGAAGGAAATTCCAGTGTGACAAGAATGTCGACAATCCCTGTGTTATCTCTCCCAGGATTTAGTTCCACTGTGCTCTTCCAGGAAAGATATAGCTGTGTATGCAGGTTTTAGTTGGGCAATCAACTTTTTCTAGTCACTTTACCTGTGGTAGTTTCTGGGTCGCTCTTCTGTGTATTAGGATCACAGGAGGAGAGAAAGGGTTATTCTTCCTTCTCCATTTTTCCACACTTAAGAGAGTTTGACATACTATGTTTTCTAGTTAGTAGTTAATTTCGTTTAACGTCTAGAGATTGCTACACTGATTTAATGATTTTTACACTTAGTTGGGCAAAAGTTTATTAGTATCTACCACCAACCAGATCTAACTACATAAATATGCATCATATAATTGCATTAAGGATAATGTGTGGGTTTTGAATGTGAACCCTGAAAATCTTAGCCACATTCCAGTTAATTTAGAAAGTTTATTTTGCCAAGATTGAGGATGTGTGCCCATGATAATGGCCTCAGGAGGTCCTGACATACCCAAGGTGGTCGGAGCACAGTTTGGTTTGGTTTTGTACATTTTAGGCAGACATGAGACATCAATCAACATTGGTAAGATGAACACTGGTTTGGTCCAGAAAAGGTGGGACAATTCAAAACAGGGAGGGGGCTTCCAGGTCTTAGGGAGCTAAGAGGCAAATCATTGCATTCTTTTGAGTTTCTGATTAGCCTTTCCAAAGGAGGCAATCAGATATTCATTATCTGTGAGCAGAGGGGTAACTTTGTACAGAATGGGAGGCAGGTTTGCCCTAAGCAGTTCCCAGCTGGACTTGTCCCTTTAGCTTAGTGATTTTGGGGCCCCAAGATCTTCCTTTTACACGAGTTATTAACCGTTCACTCTTGTGAAATATCATTTTAATATTAGGATATCTGAAATGTTTCCATATGGCTGGGCGCTGTGGCTCACGCCTGTAATTCCAGCACTTTGGGAGGCTGAGGCCTGACGAACACTTGAGCCCAGGAGTTTGATATCACCTTGGGCAACATAGTGAGACCCTGTGTCCACAAAAAATAAAATTAGCCAGGCATGGTGGCACATGCCTGTGGTCCCAGCTACTTGGGAGGCGAAGGCAGGAGGATCACTTGAGCCCGGGAGGTTGAGGCTGTAGTAAGCCTCGATCCAGCCACTGTACTCCATCCAGCCTGGGAGACAGAGATAGATAGACCCTGCCTTAAAATAAATCAACAAACAACGATAACAAATAATGGGATGTTTCTATAGATCACTTTGTTTTTTAAAACACTAAATTGATTGATTGATCGAGGTGGAGTCTCACTCTGTCGCCCAGGCAGGAGTGCAGTGGCACGGTGTTGGCTCACTGTAACCCCGGGTTCAAGCGATTCTCCCGTCTCAGCCTCTCAAGTAGCTGGGACTACCGGCATGCGTCACCATGCCCGGCTAATTTTTAATTGTTATTTAAATTTTTGTATTTTTAGGAGGGACGAAGTTTCGCCATGTTGGCCAGGCCAGTCTCGAACTCCTGTCCTCAGGTGATCGGCCGGCCTCGACCTCCCAAAGTGCTGGGATTACAGCTGTGAGCCACTGCGCCTGGCCTAAAAACACTTAGTAGAGAACTGGGGTGCAGTTTTGTCACTGACAGTTACGGTGCTGTAGAAAGAACCCATATCTGGAATCTGCCTTTAGCCTTAGCTCTGCCTCGTTTTACCTTGGAAAAGTCACTTCACCTGTTTTCTCATTTATATAGGGTTAGGATCATGATTTCTATATCGCAGTGTTCTTATGAGACTGAATGACGGAAGTTAAAATAAGTTTTCTACGAAGGCAAAATTAGGTTTCTTATAGCAGGAAGAGAGATGCTCAAAGAGAAGTGGGAATCTCAGGAGAAGGATGTGGTCAGGGGCTTTTATGGAGGTTGGACTAAGGATTATTAGTCAAGGGGCTCAACTGCCATGTATGGTAGGTCTCGAATACCGTTTCTCCAAAATAACCGATGTCCCACCAAACCCAAACTTCCTCAACTCGGATCAAACTCAATGCTGCAGCATGTTCTGAGATTCTGTACTCGCCTCACTTCCCCCGATTATCAATTTTGGAGGAGCCATTCCTTCATCATCCATATTTGCATCCTCTACACCGCTCATTGGTAAGTGCTTAGTGCGTCTGCTATCGTGGGGTGGACATAATATTATCAGGTTAGCGACTTAATAACTGTTAGTGGTGGATCTTTAAAGCCAATTTGAAAGTTCATGCTTTCCCCTAAAGGCAAAGCAGGCGTTCCTTTTCTTAAAAGAGAATTTTAAACAGAACTGGGTCTTTGGTGTCCTGAGTAAAGCCGGCAAAGAGAGAGGGTCACGGTTGGGGGTGGGGGTGAGGGGCGATACAGAACCCTCTTCTGGTGGTGCCTTGCCCGGAACCCCAGGGTAGAGCCCTGGCGCGCTCCCAACGCGAATCGGCGACTCCGTGGGGAGCGAGGTGCAGAGGTGCCCGTCCCACCCTACCCCTTGTGGGGTGCCGGGCTCAATTTCCCAGAGCCACGGGGCCAGCTTCTGGTCCTGAGATGCGGATGAAGTGGTGTGAAGGGTTGGGCTTTTTTTTTTGTTCCTAAAAATGCAACGAACAAAAAAAAAAGTACAACAATCCAAACCCAACCATCTTATTGCACGGCGGCTTAACTGGGAGACTTTCTTCCCGGGCGGCTCCATCCGGGATGGCGCCGCGTCCAGTCGAGCCCACCGTCTGGGCGAACGGCGTCCACTTCCCGGAGCTGCGGCGCAGCCCCCTGCGGGCGGACCTCTGGCGCGCGCAGGCCTCTGGAAGGGAGAAAAGCCCGCAGCCCGGCCCTCCCCTTCCCGGGTGGGCGGCGGGAGCCGGCGGCGGTTGGAGACGCCGGAAGAAGCGCGGCCGCACCTCCCGGCTCCCTCCGCTGGGACAAGGCGCGGCTGGGGAGGCGGGACGCAGACGAAGCGGTCGGGGAGGCGGGGCCCGAGGTGCTGGCGGAGGCGGGCGACGGGGAGGGGGGAGGGAGCGGGAGGGGGGAGGG